TTTAGTGTACTGTTTTTTTTGAGAATATTTTGTTTTTGGTGTATTTTGTTTTGTTTTTAGTCCATTTTGTTTTGTTTTTCGTGTATTTTTTTAGTCTTTGCTTGGTCTTTCAGGTGTGCGAGAATGTAGGCGGTCGTCTGCTGCTGCGATACGATGGCGCTGATGAAGACCTGCAGCAGTTCTGGATATTCTTTTCCAACCCTCGTCTCAGCAGCTTCGGCTACGTCACCAACAAGGTAACCACATATTCAGGATATTTTGAAATCACTTGAGGGTTCACCGTAAGCACATCTTTTCATTGTCCTTGGTTTTTCCAACCAATACACAGTTTTGTATTTCGCAATAAACGTAGCAAGATGAGAAATAATTGGATAACTGGAACATGATTAAAAATAAAATCGACAGTTTTCTTTCGTTTGTTTCTAAGTCTCGTTTATCAAGCCGACACGACTTATGTTTACATTAGGGTTGTAACGGAACTTTGCTTCCGCATCCGCAAGTGCAGAACTTCCGCAAGAAATGATAACTCCGCATCCGGTTTCGCTTCCGTTATTTCTTATGCGGAGTTATAACGGAGATTAAATTACGTCTTTAATGCGAGTGGGGCGATTAGGCATCGTTTATGCGGCCCGCGCGGACAAGCTAGGTCAACTAACTATAATTGTTATACATTATATTTGCATAATAAACTGTATCTTGTAATTATGTACCAATCTGTATTTTGAATTAACGTAGTTTGAGTTTTTATTTCTTTAATAAATTGCAATAAACATTTTATTATTGACCTACGCTTCTGCAGAGGTGAAGCCCTTCGCCTCCGCATCCGTATCCGCTTCCGTTAAAATGGCCTCCGTTACAACCCTAGTTTACATTTATAATTTATCGCTATTGTTAATGCTATCGCTGTATTGTATTTTGCAATTGTATGTTTGTCACTGTAAGCAAGTAATGTAGATGAGACCGATCAGTTTTGGTCTTCTCTTTATACATGGAAGAATAAGCTTTTTTAGAATGGCAATTTTTCTACTAAGATCGATGAGTTCGAGTACAATAGCTGTCGTAAAAGTTGTAACAACAAATTGTGTAAACACATTTACGAAAGTGCAATGCTTACGGAACAAATTCAAAACATTTACACGAAAACATAAGACACTCTAGTCTGTAAACGATAGTTTTGCAATAAAATAAGCAGTATCGTGACTATTGTTATTTAAAAAGTTAACTATATTACGTAATATAAAGTTTTTTAATTTCTTGTATCAAGTTGTCAATTGTCACGTTTTGTAGCAAATAATCAGTTGTAGACATGTTTTATCTCATTATGTTATCCTTAACATCTCATAGAATTGTTCGATTTTGTATACTTTAATGAGATTTATAACGCGCCCACACCTTTGGACTAAACTATCGCACAACTGTTTCGTTGCTCTTTGATTCCTATCAGCTTATATGGAGGTGCGCACTACTCGATTTTTAGTTGTGCAACTAAACAGTTGAATTGGCTGCGAAACAATCGACAATCGAACACAGTTACGAGATTGTTTAGTCAAAGGTGGCTTCCTTAGAGTGTCTCCAACTTTGATCTTTTTGAATCATTATATCGAGTTGATTGGTAACTGTTTTTGTGTATTTGCAGGGTTCTCCCTGGCAGTTCAAGTACCCAGGCAAAGTGAACAGGTTCTCGTGCAAAAACAAGCTGAGCGCGCAGCTACGACAGAGCGCTGAGGAGTCCATCAAGGAGCCCACGCCTCCCGACCTATTCCAGGTAAACATTTCACACATATCAGAATATACTCAAGTATATATGATTAAATTTAAGTAGAAACTAATTATAATTTATCTTTCCAGCCCGCACCAACTCAAGAGGCGCACAGTTTCGTGACCGGCATGAAGGTGGAGATGCTGAGCCCCGGCGACATGCGCACCATCCGGCCCGCCACCGTCACCACCGTCTTCAACAACCTGCACTTCCTGGTGACGGCAGACGAGGCCGGAGACGACACAGACCCCGCCCCCGCCTGGCTCTGCGACAACATGCACCCCTACATCTTCCCCATCGGCTGGGCCCAAAAGCACAACTTTCCTCTCAAACCTCCCAAAACCTGGAAAGAGGGACCTTTCAATTGGGATGAGTATCTAACGACGACGTCATCCGTCCCCGCGCCCGACTACTGCTTCGGAAACAAGGAACCTATGAAAGGTATAGAGGTGGACATGAAATTGGAGGCTGTGAACCCTCTCAGCCAGGAGGAGATCCACGTGGCGACCATAACCGCCATAGAGGAACATCTCGTCTGCGTCGAGCTCATCCCCATCGCGCAGAAGTTCTGGTTCGCGCACGACAGCGACCTGCTGTTCCCCGTGGGCTGGTGCGACAGCAACAACTACGAGCTGCACATACCAGACACCTCCAATAGGCAGCCGGAGAAGGCCGAGGAGCCAAAGGTCGTCGTCAAGGAAGATATGAAGACCTCGAGCGAGTGGTGCGATAGAATATATTTCAACTACAAATGCTACGCGGGCCCCTCCATCAGCAGGAACAAGCTGTCGCAGCTGCCGAAGCACGTGGGTCCCGGGCCGCTGACGCTGGTGCTGAAGGAGGTCCTCAACAAGATCATTTCCGCCTCCTACAAACCCGCCAAGCTGCTCAAAGACTGGGAGCACGAGGGACCGCCCGAGGAGGGAATGAGATTGGAATTATTACGGGCCAAGTAAGTATACTTTAATATTGTGGACTTATCAAGTTTTAAATAGGTAGTCGTGTTGTATTTAGGGTCAAAATAAGATGTCTTAAAAGTGTCGTGTGGTGTGCAGGCTGAAGTCCAGCACGTACCACGCGTACGTGTGCGTGGCGAGCGAGCGCGCGCGCGTGCCCGCCTTCTGCGGCGCCGTGTGCGCGCGCCTGCAGGCCTGCCCCGCGCTCTTCGGCCCCGCGGAGTACCCCGCCGGCTGCCCGCACCGCTGCCACCAGGTCGACAAGTCCACATTCCGTGAGTATTTACATGCACTACTAAACTGAATTTCATTTTCAGTTTTACCAATATAGTAATTGTCCTAAAATATTATTTCTGTTTACAGATAATGGCACAGAACGTCGCGGCAGACCGAAAGGCAGCGTGAACGGTAAGAGGAAAAAGAAGAAAACGACCGCCCCCGAGAAGCGGGAGAAGGAGATGCGACCGTCGCAGGAGTGCGAGGGGAACAGGGACGGCGAGTCGGTGGAGAGCGAGCACAGCGCCGCCTCCACGCCCCCCTCCGAGTCGGGCACGCGCCCCAACTCGCCCGACTGCCTCCCCGACTGTCGCCGCCCCGGGCGAGCGGGCCGGCCGGGGCGCCCCGGCAAGGGCCGCGAGCGGCGCGCCGCGCACCCCAAGCTGGAGATGAAGACGCGCGGCGCCAAGCTGCCCAACTTCGCGCTGCAGATGAAGGAGGCGCACTGGGAGAAAAAGGACGCGGAGAGGATGTACAGCGGCTCGTGCGCCAAGAGGGCCGGCCCGGACAGCGACACCGAGCACGACACCAACGAGAGCAGCTGCCACTCACGCGGCAAGCGCATCTCGGACGTCTCCGACGCGGAGGAGCCCGAGCTCAAGAAGCTGCGCTGCGCCTCCTACGAGTCCCCGCCCTCCGACCCCCTGCCGCACGCCGTGCTCAACCTCGCCAACCTCGCCCCCAACCCCCTGCACTGGAGCGTCGACGACGTGTACTCCTACCTCAGCAGCACCGAGGACTGCAAGCTCATCGCCGACAAGATGAAGCAGGAGGAGATCGACGGCCAGGCATTCATCATGCTCGACCTGCCCATCATCAGGGACTTCCTGCACATGAAGAAGGAGTTCGCGATGCAGCTCTGCAAGCATATCTCCCTCATCCGCTGGTACTATATAGACAACTTCGAGGAGGCCGGCGCGATGTGACCTGCCGCCCCTCACTTCCCGTTATGTTACTTTGTCTAGTCCATAAATAAATTAATTCCCAACGAAAACAACTTTTATTAATTCAAAAACGATACCGAACTCAACAAGCCCTGCGTAATTTCTTGCAAAAGTAGTTGCATATTTTGTAAATTATCGAACGCTTCGAATCGTCATCTACGTCATTAGTGAAATCTTGATCGAGATGTATATTTTTCTTTGGATTTACGATTCTGACCGGAATGTCCTTTTCGTCGCCCTGGTCCACACTCCGATCTCTCAAAGACATCGCTTCCATTTCTTTCGCTTTTAATTTCTTGATGTTATCGGCCGAGACTGCTTCGTCGATTTTATCATCCTTCACCATTTGATCCCGAATGTTTATTTCCGAGACCATATCCCGGTTGTTCAGTTTAATCTGAACGCAGCGGTGGCTGTTTAGCAGGTTTATATAGAATACTCCTTTCTTAGACTTGTGACTGGAGCTAACGTCATCCGTATTGGAATCTGATTTGTAGTTGTCGTTCTTGTACGCTTCGATTGTTGTTTTAAATCCTTCTGGAAATAAATTGTTTCCGGAGACCTTGTACTCCTCGTTACCTTCACAATTTACTTCAACGGTCGCATCTTTACTGCACAAAGCTCTTGGTATTTTAGAAACGGGGAAAGAAACCGATGAATCTGATGAAATAATATCTTGAAGCATGTCTTTTATAAAGTTCTCCATATCTGCTATCGGATCGTCTTTTATCTTTGTTAATATTTTATTGAAGCGCATTTTATATTGTTCTATATCGCTCATGCAGTGGTAGAATTTATCGAAAATTTCTTGTACAGTTGTCTTGAAAAGTTTTATATTTGACTCAAGACTGGGCGCGAAGCTGCTGTCGGTATGAAGATTATAAGATAGAGTGTTATTTAGGTTCATTTCTATTTGTTCTAAATCGAGCGTAGTTCCCGATTTAAGTTTTCTGTCCCCTTTCCCATTTTCCGCGGCTTTACTTAAACTAACGAAGCCAGTGTTATCTTGAACGGGAATCTCATCGTGTTCATACATTTTATAATACTGCTTAGACATTATATTGTAGTGATAGTCGTTACGATTATTTCCTATAGTGATTGCTCGTACGTCGATGTCCGATCCGTAACCTATCGTGTGCGTTGGCTCTTTATAAGATTGTGTCGCTGAACAGCAAAGCCGTGGTATAGGCAAACTTTCATTACCTGAAAAGAAATAACTCAGTATTATTGTAATCTATTCTGTTTAAAACGCATATAGATAATGGGTAGACATCACGGAATTACCCGATTAACGTTAACACAAAGTGCTAGTCTAGTTTCATATACTTACTCATTCTTGATGATGACGATAAACAGGATATTTGAAACTAACAAAAAATTAATCATTTTAATAAAAATAAAAAAATACTCTTAATTAAATTAAATTATCGCAGACAAAATTCACCTAAAAGCAACTGCGAGCTAAAAATATCTCCCTGGATCTTGCAGACGATAAAATACCTATGAATTTCGTTTTTGGGTGGGTTTAAGGGCTATTTGCCCTAAAGACAGGAAGGTAATGTCCTTGTTCTTATGTGTAAGGTAACTTTATTCTACACGTAATGTGTTTGGTATTTATTCGACAAAGTGTATGTTTCGTTTTAATTAGTTTCGTCCGTCGATAGTCCTCTACTGCTGTTAAAAACCCTATTAATATCTATAACATTGGTAGGTCGTTCGCTAGCCATTACAGCACTCATCCATATTTCGTTATTTAAGAGAAATTGGAATGACTAATGTTTAGTTTAAAATTATCTGGTGTCAATTCAAAAAAAATAAAGTAGTCATCATACTTACAAACTTAGGAATAATATACCTATTAAAATTTTGGATCCGAAAAATTACATGACATTTCTTGCTAATTCTCTTATAAAATTCTAAAAAAGTGACATTATTTTTCATAATTACATTTGACTATACAGCCGTTTACCAAGAAGATTGAAGATTTAATCATATTTAATAGAAAATTATGGTTGTACACGAAGACGGTGAAGTCAGTAGTTAAGTTTTTTCAGTTAGTTAGTTAGTTATAAGAAATGCTTTATCTACCTCAGTATTTTTCATACTACCTATCGTGAAGAAGGTTTTAAAAAAATGACCTATGTTTTTTTTTACATTTTGGATCTATTTAATTGATAGTGCATCATTACATCATAATGCTACAACAGGCTTAGGTTCGTATTAGTAATATTTTGTCCAATTATTAATAGTGTAGATTTTAGAGTAGATAAGATGGCAACATTAAAAAGTCAAACAAGTTATGGTTTTTTATTATCTATGATCCAGCAGTTTGTTTATGGTCTAGCGGTAGTTTATGGTCGAATTGATCACTGTCGAAAACGAGAATCTCAAAGGCCCCGCCTTTAATTCAGTAAATACAGTTCGTTTGGAATAACCGAAATGATATTTTTATAAGAAACACATTTAGGTAATAAAATAAAACAAAAGTCCCATAGTTCTTACCAATTCACTATATAGCTTAACTAACTGTACAATCCACCTAAACTCAGTGTTCTCAACTGAATTTTGCGTATTTGTTACAAAATACTTAGTACGTTTTACTCGAATGTTTTCGTTTCGTGTTAATAGTTTATAATTCATTTCTGTGTCTAAATGTTATTTACAATATCTCTACGCGTCTATTTTTAGTGGGTGTTGTCATTGTAAGAGCTTTACTCGGATTAGGTCATCGAGTTTAGTAGACATGTGTGCGGTGTGCCGGAGCCGGAGAAATGTGTTTTAGTCTCTCTTAAATAGTTTGTTTCGTTTCTTAATAGATAAACGAGGCTGCGGAATACGTCAACCATGGATACATATAAGTTGATTTGTTTGTTCGTGATAGTGTCCCAGGCGGCAGCGCTACGTAAGTGTTTTACGACTAATCTACTTACTAGATTGTTTATTGTGCATGTTTGTATAAGTTCATTCAACTTTTACTAATAAGAATCCAAATAGGTTAATCAATACAATTTAATAATCTTTTTTTCTTATTAAAAATATAAAAAATAATGGATCTTTCATATAATTTTTATTTACAGTTGTTTTAGGCATTTTTTTGTCCAAACATTTATTGATTACTTAATATCTACAAATGGTAATGGTAAATATTAAAATTTAATTTCATACATTCTTAAGTAAGCCATATTTTATCTGTTGGATTCCAATGAGAAGATATAAACTAATGTATGAAATTGCAAATGTTATACTGACTATAGCACAAAATAGGGACTCATGCTTTATACATGAAATAAATGCTACTTATGGTTCTTCTGTTATCAGTATTGTTAATTGATATTGCTACCTTTAAAAAGTACATAATTGTTTTTATTCATATTGATTTTTTGGCCTAACATTTTCATAGAATATTTTTCTTTTATACTTTTTTACTAATATTATGAAGGGGAACGATTTGTATTTTTGTACGTATTTATTCACACAAAAATTACTGGGCCAATTTTAATAATTCCTTCTTCCTTATGTTTTGTATTATTTTTCATTTCATACCAGAGAAGTCCCTACCAACAGCTAGTTATCAATACATTGTCATTATTAAGTACATAGTGAGTACTAACTAGTGATAGCAATTGTAAGACTCTAATTCCGTTCACTATCAGTCATGAATGGGATGTATTCATAACAATGAATGGGACAAGTAATTCAATGAAAACCACATTAGACAATGATCTAGATTAGCAATTGCTCAATTGATTTGTCCTTGTACTATGATTTCATCTTTTACATCTGATTCGTAGGCTTTGATTGCAATTTTTACTAAAATCAATCATTTAAAAATAGACTATTTATAAAATAAAACAGAGATCAGATTTACGATGTTCGACTAGCGTTTGCCCACATCTCCATCCATACGGAATTAATATAAAAATGTTCTCCATTCTTGCCAGATTTCATAGAAATCTGTTAGCTGGAAATACTTTCTAACATCTATCCATCAAAATGTTCATATTTGTAATATTAATAGGATTTAGGCTAAATATCTTGAGTACTTCAGCACCTGATGCAAGGGCAAAGGTTTTTATCTATTCCTTCTAGATGCTATTGATTTTTTCATCAAATTAAAGAATCTCTATCTGAGTGAGAATATAGAAATGTGCATAATGTTAACATTAACAAATTAACAGTTCTTGCAGTTTGCTTATATAAACATTGTGATAACACTGTATGTATGAGATCTTTTACTTTGTTGGTTAGTGACATCGCCGCCAAGAATTGTAAAGCAGCCAACAGTAGAAGAGTTGCTGTTCCAAGTTGCGCAGCCCGGAGAAGTGGATAAACCCTTCATCATTGAATGTGAAGCAGAAGGAGAACCGGCACCCAAGTATGTATATTACCAGTATTTCTGTATGTCTATCAATCTGAGATAAGGGTTGAATATCTCAAAGAATCTTAAAATTAAACTGGTTTTCTAGGTAATTATTGATAGCACTCTATGTAAATGTAGGAACTGAAATTAAAGCAAGAAAAAAGTTAATTTTACCTGAAACTTGGTGATTTATAATTTTGATTTATTCTTGCTATTGTAAACTTAAAAGTCCATGCTAGATCAAATAGAATTAAGTTCTTCACTAGATAAAATTATGTTGAATTTGAACATGTAATCATTTGGTGTATGTCCCATAGTCAGGATTGGCGCCTGCCAGCTCTATTAAGCAAAGTTAAATGCAGATATATGCATATTTATGCTCTTTCTGTTAACTTGTACATCCATTGTTTTATGTTTCAATGTTTTATTGTGAAGCGAATAAATTAATCAAGATATATTAATGTGATAATTTTATGATCAAACTTTATTATAAATTCATTGCATATTGCTATAAATTAATATCACTAATACAATGAGGTTACAAAAATTCTTATCATTAGAAAGCTTCATTTTTACCAAGTAACATAGGCTTTTTTCTAATTTTATTTCCGCGCGGACTAAGCTAGTACGAATTTTTGAGACTTAGCAAAATATTTACATTTAAAATCTCATATTGTTGAAGCTATTTCATACCTGGAAGTGCCACTTTTCTAGTCTTGTATCCTATTTGGCGAAGAGTTTCATTTAGCTACGTTAAAAATGTATAAAACCCCCGTCCACTCTGAATGAGCGAGACCGACTTTTCTTGAGCCTCCTTGCGATGAAAGGATTGTAGGTCTATGGTAAGATATTCATTAGGTAACCTGTTCCTTAGATAGCACACGCGCTAAACATACTTGTACATTGCTCTCTCAAATTGTACTATGAAAATGTACTTTTAATTTATTGTACTAGTACAGCGTACTATTACAGTACAAAAAGAGAATTGCACTTACAATCGTGTCACTAGACCCTTTACTGTAGGCATATTTAATGTGAGAAATGTACTAAGCAATTATTTAAAAACTATTAAACGTCACTTAAAGATTCTTCCTGATTTTTTTTTATTTTTGTGTCGTAAAATATACCTTTATTTAGTTTAGTGTCTTTTAAATTCATATTCCAGAGCTTCATTTGCTAGTTCTCATTCGAATTATAAACAATGTCTAATTGGAATCTGTAATTTGGTTTAACAAACGTTAAAATTTAAATGGGTCGGCAGTAAACATAGACTCTGTGATATAAACATGTTGCGTCGCGACAGCCCGCCTTGGCTCAGTCTTGCTAGATAGTATTAGATCAGATTATAGTTGTTGACCTAATGACATGGAAAATTGATTTACTAGCTTTTACCGGCGTGGAATAAAAAAAAAGAGAAAGTAGCCTATGTGTTCCAGACTATGCTGCCAATTTTCATCCAGATCCGTTTAGCCTTTTAGGCTACAAACTCTAACTAACATCCATCCATCTAAACTTACGCATTTATAATACTTATATGAGTGAAAAAAGTATTAAATACGTCAAAGTGATCGAAATAAGTCTTCACGATTTGGTACATGTAGAAAAAGTTCTGGGTTGTATTTATTACAAATGTTATCGTCATTTTTAGTCAATGTAAGTTTTTCCAAACATAGTTTTAACTATGATGGTATTTTTCAGTGTTACCTTTACCACACCTTGTTATAGAAATGGGGTTCAATGAACTTCCGACCTTTCGTATAACAATCGCGCTATTGCTTAATTTATAATTTTCGGGCCTGGTTTTCGTAAGCGATTGTGCCCTCCGATGGAAAGTTTAAGCAGACAGTTTTTGTTACTTTAACTTATATAGGAAACGATAATTATATGCAAATGATTGGTGCGTTTATAAATAGACTTGTAATAATAGCGGAGATAATAATGCATCAGCTTCGACATGCAATATATGACAGTTATTTGATACAGTTGGGAGTATATAAGCGTCCCTATAAGGGAACGTGAAAGTGTCTAAAAATGACACTAAATTTGAACCTTATGTACCAAATATTTACATCAACCATTCACTTCATGAAAAAGAATTCTCGATCGTAGGGGAAAAACTTTAGTAAGCAATAGGAAAGCCTTCGACTACGTTCATTTCCTGTACTCGTGTCCTGCGAACCCTCCTCACTTCTCCCTCTGAAAAGGGATCCCGGACAAACGAAACTTGATTACTCCCTAAGGACAAATTGACGTATTTCAGTCGGGCGCCGCGGGCATTAGCTGTCTACCTGTATTGGATAGCGTACACGTAAATAAATAAGATCTCACGACTGTGCACACTTAAGTAAAAGACGAGAACCGGTGGTATTTGCTAGAATACATTTCATGATTCCATCAAGTATTAAAAAAGTCTAAGTGTAAACTACATTATATTACAAGTTTTAATTTAAAATTTCCCCCTTCTCCTAGTAAAGATTTAAAAAAAAATGATGAGGGTTTGATCACACCTATGCTTTTAATCTAGTCGTCATCTCAATCAATCAATTTCTCTTGCCTTAGTATAGTTAAATTGATAACTTCATAGTTTTCGTCGAACTCCATAATTCAGTAATCCTTTTATTAAATGAAAAAAACCTGCAAATTCCCAAAATCGCTCTACCAAATAAACATGCGACTTAAATAAATGTTTGCTTATAATTTTAATTCCATAGTTTAATAATAAGTAAGTAAGTAAGTTTAATAATAAACCAGTTAAGAAAACGCCTTATGTTGTGAAACGTAAACATTGTCACGAAGGTTGCTGGTTGCCTATTGCCTTTTTTATATAGACATTGTATTTATACAGCTATGTATGTATACAGTAGGGAGGTCTGTCCGAGGTTCGATGTTGTGCACAACTTTTACCAAGTATTGAAGGCATTACTAAGTGATGATTCTTATGAATGCACGATACCTTTCCACATGTAAAGTATCCTTACATAGGCGTACCTTGTACCTAGAGCGCCAACGTAGCGTAGATAAATATTTGAAATGCGTATAGTTAGAGTATTGGCATCTGTAGCAACCGAGGGTCCAGCCAAGTAGTACACGACATTGTCATCTATTCCTATCCTATTGTGTAGAAGATGGGCCGACGAACGGCATTGACTGACTAACCTTTTACTTGATTTGATTTACTAATAAAATGACGGATAATATTAAAAATTTTCCATAAAATATCATTTTGAATTAAGGCATATACAAATCCAAGTAAACTTACTTAAGTGTTCATTTTAAAGCATTTATAACTGATCAACTTAAAGTGCTGTTTCAATTTAAAGGAGGTTTACTCGGAAATGAATTTTCCACCGTAACCGTTTTCCGGCAAAGCTCGAGGGAATATTTTCATTGCGAGTACCGCGTTGCGAAATTATGAACAGTTGAAAGCTCTCCCATATTTTTTCCTCGCTTTAGTTCTGAACTTTGCATTCATACGTCAGCCAGTTTTGAAACAAATGAAATGTTTTAAAACTTTACGTAATTCAATGCTGGGGAGTTTTTGTTTTACCGTAAAATTGTTGTCCCAGAAAAAAATATTTATATAATGTTTTAAGGTATTGTTAAAAAAGCCCACCCTACAAGGGAGACCTAATATAAAGCTTATGTCAACACGTAAACAATTCTGACTTGCATATTTCAATGAGAACTTCTTAGCAGCTAGGGTTGTGACTACTTCGAGTAAATATATAATAATGTTTACCTGCTTTACAATTGACTGTTGTCAAATATTCTGATAGGGCGCCCAAGTAGGGCTGTAAAAGAATAGAGCCAACCCTTGCTGCTACCCTATTCTTCCGTTGGTCTTTGAAATATTAAAAACGTTTTAGTCAACACTTTTCAAAGCAGTCCTATAATTTTTTTTATTGTGACGAACATCAATAAGGCTTTCTCTTTATGAAAAATTAAATTAAACCCATAATCAAGCAAATATAAGGATTAAATTCTTACTAGTCTAATATATCGGTCAAGAGCACGTAATATTATTGAATTGATACATCTTTGCTGGTAAGATCACACACTGCCGACCTATTTCCATGGAACCGCGCGTGTTATCAACAAGGTGTGTCAACCGGCAGAAATAGAATCGAACTCGCGTTGATGTCATCACCTCGGACCAGTCTCGTATGAAGGGCTCCAGCTAATGTGCCGACGAGGCCAAACCACGTGTTTAACTTGTTTATATTATACGCCTTAGAGACCGTCTCGTCATCGCTGTTCAGTTATTCGGCGAATAATTACGCGAATTGTGAACGTCGGGTTAGGTGACTATTTTGTATATTGCTCGCGACTTCGTCCGCGTGAGTAAAAATAATAAAAATATAGCCTATATTACTCACTGATAACGTAGCTTTTAAATGATGAAAAAAATTTTGAAATCAGCCCAGTAGTTTGTGAGTTATTTTTACATATACAAAAATACAAATCTTCCCTCATACATTTATTATTGTTACTATAATGCTTTAGGTATCGATTGCATTTCGACAGTATTCTAAAGAGGCATCAGATGAATTTGAATCACATGTTAACATTGTAGCACATTGTCGCAGCACAGAAGCTTATTGTGAGTTAGTACGATCGTAATATTCACATAAAACCATGTTTTGTATGAATTCGACAGTACAAAATCACGCTTGTCTTGATAGCTTTGTGCGTTGTAACAATGTCCTTGCATCGGCGTCGTTGATGCATTCGTTAGTTATGCAGCCAGTCGTCTGCTCAGACCGCGCTCGCTGAATACATTGTTCCGCTTTGTCGTAGACATTAAAAATTACGCTCTATCTCTGAACCTATGTATACTTACAAAGGGATTTAAGCTACTAAAGATGAGAAAACTAGATAGGAACATAAATGAGACCTTTTTTTATTATTCAACTAACACGTTAACTCAATGACGTCATACATTTTTTGCCAAATTAACCGTTGCATAAACATGCATTCCGAAACGTGGGCCGGAAGATGGCGAGATGCGTCGCTTG